AATCGCCGGATCAAAAAGTTGAGAAATAAAGAAATACCGTTGGTAAAAGTTGATTGGCAAAACCACGGAGGAACCTACGCAACTTGGGAAACCGAGGAAGACATGATGAAGAGATATCCAGATTTGTTCCCATTAGACCCAATGTTGATTTCGAATGAAGGTAATTCGAGTTTGGAAGACCAAACTCTTTTAAGGGGGGAAGACTGTAATAATCCCGACCTCCGATTAATGCTAAACCATGACTAATTATGCTTAACAGTAATTTAGAAGGAATCCGGAAGTAAATTGCATATGTATTGCATTATCTTTGTGTTTTTATCTGTTTGCCATAAAATGATCTATTCATGTTTTATGTTTTAAACTACAAATTGAAGGCCTTATCAACGGCCGAATCCGAAACTGATTAGTGTTTTGTGTTAATTAGAATTAATGTAATTTTATGGTAAATTTAGTTGAAATTTAATTTGGTATGATTAAATTGGATTATATATCGTTAAATTACATTAGTTAAGTTTATTACTATATTGCCATTGAGTGGCCCACTACCTAAGACAACCTTGAGATTGCTTCATACATTTGTTGCATCATTTTCATTCATCTTCCTAAGCTAAAACCAACTAGAGAGAGAGGGAGAGGTAGGAAATAGAATTCATCAAGGTTTGGCTTGGAGTTAAGGAGAATTGAAGAGTAGCTTGCATATTTGAGCCGCGTGTCGTGTGATCAATCTGCTCTGTCTGTTTGTTTGAAGGCCAACTGTGAGTAATAATTTAGTAAAGTTATGTTCAAACTGTATCTACTTTTAGTGTGATAAAACAAGATCTGTTTTCTGAAATGATATGTTCTGTGCAATGAATGATTGTTCAATTTCTGATATGTATTCGCGACATCCTTAGCATCATGTGATATCTATTAGCTGTTACCCGGTATCGGAGGTTCCTTTACAGAACTTATTTCTGTCTGCACTCTGTTACCCGTACCGGAGGCCCTGTCACGGGGGCTCAACTTCTGCTCTGTTCTGTTACCCGGATCTAGAGGTTCCTTTATGGAACTGGTTATTCGTAACCTCACGTATATACGTTATGTTCTGTTCTGTTCTGTTTATGCTAATGGATGTATCACGTAAACTTAATCATGACTTATGATTTTTGTCTGTATATGATCTGGACAAACTATGATTTTGATATGAACTGAATTGTGATTTCTGAATCTTTGCGAACTCATTCATTGAAACCCTTTACTCTCTTAATATTCACTGGGCTTCGCTCACTGTTTATATAATGTATGTAGGTGAGTCGGCATGTGACCAGGGCCAGAGTTGATGGCCTTCTGTTTCGTTTTTGTCAGCTAACCGTTGTGCCTCCCGAGAAGGTTCCGATCGAGTCTAAAGCCATGGCTGTTTTTGTAGTCATGCTAGTCTTTGTGTTTGCTCTGTACAGTCAGGTCTTGGGAAGTATAATCTGTAAATACCTTGTGAATATTGTATATCTGGACTGGCATGTTTATATATATATATAAATAAGTTCTGAAATGTTCTATCCCATGTACGTTATCACAGTTTATTGGACCTTGTCTATTTTGTATTATTGCTTCCGCAACCCCTTATTATTTGCTAATCTGTTCAAAGGCCTTTGGTAATCCACGGATTACTGGCCAGTTACGGTGCTAAACCTATAGGGGCGGGTTTGGGTCGTGATAGTGAGCTAGCTGGCGGGTGTGTGCCGGATACCTCTCCGATACCTAAATCAACAAAAATAGATAAATAGACAAAAATTATGAATATTCGGGAATCAAAGTTGTGTTACCTCTACATAGATGACGTTGTGAGCTTTTTATAGGTTTTGTGTGGCACAATCCTAGTAGGACTCTTATTCCTCCATCTAGAGTCCTCCTAGGAATCAAACTCCTAAAAGATAATGATTATCCTTCAACGCCCCCCTCACTGCTTAAACCAAGTGAGATGGTTTTACCTCGGTAGTATGACAAAGCGACCAAGCTAACACGGCTATGCTAAAGCGGCAGAAATGACTGTGCTCTAACTAGCTCGGTTATTCCCTTCATTGTTGGTACCTCGGTTTGGTCCGTTGAGACCGAGCTAACCGCAGTAAGCTTTGACCGAGCTAACGAGAGCAAGGTCCACCAAGAAGCCCAAATACCTTGGTTTTGAATACCATGACCGAGCTAATTATCTCCATACCGACCGTAGTAACCACAACCACAATTGGACCGAGCTTTTTTTTTTTTTGGATCAGTGGACATTACAGAAAAACAGCACAGCAAAGAAAACAACAAAACAAACCAGCACAACAAATAAATCTAAGCCGAGGCAAGACAAGCCATAGGCCCAAGAGGAGGATTGGAGACCCAGTCGAGAGGGAGACTGTTCCGAAGCTGATGATGAGCCACCCAGTGGGCCACTTTGTTGGCTGTCCGTGGCCTCCACAGAAAAGAGAAATCATCGGAAAGGGCCATCAGTTTAATATCAGCAATCACAGCAGCACATTCCCATGGAGGAACAGATTCGGAGACACTGAGAAGGATTACCGATTTGTTATCGCCTGCGATCTCGACTCTAGAGAGGTTGAGGGAGGAGGCAAGCTGACAAGCTAAACAACAGGTCAAAACTTTGCCTTGAAGCACAGAAACTATAGAAACTTGCTGAGTCAAACCGTCAAGGATGATCCCCTGTGAATCCCATAAAACAGCTGCGATGGAAACTTTGTTAGATCCTTTAAGAGTAGCCACATCACAAGTAATCTTAAAACTCCCACTGGGAGGGGGATGCCCCCCAGAATTTTGGGAGATATGGATGAAGGACTCGTGGCGCTTGAGGTTAGAAATCTCTGTAACTTGCAAAAACTCATCTCTGGCCCATTGAGCTCGCTGAATGGTAGAGAAGGGGTCTATTGGGGTGGAATTAAACACAAAGGCATTGCGCTCCTTCCAAACAAACCAGCTAAACCAATCAACTGAGCTAAAAAGTGGGATGCATTCTTCTTTGTGAAGAAATGATTCTTACACCGCACAAACCCAGTGAAGGATAGAGGAGATAGAAGCCCAATCTACTCTAAAATTCAGATCACACCCAAACCATACAGCCCTGACCCAACCATAGCCAAACAACAAATGTCCCGTCGATTCCACTTCATTCATGCAAATAAGAGACATATTTGATGGGCTGCATTCCCTTCTGAATAAATTCTCCTTAGTTGCCAAAGCATTCTTGCACACTCGCCACCAAAAATGGCGGATCTTAGGAGGAACCTTGAGAGACCAAACAAATTGTCAAAAATCCCGTGGAATCTGGAAAGAGATGGAGGGAAGTTGAGCAATTGGATGTTCTTCAGCTGGCCCGCAACGTGATAGCCCGATTTGACTGTGTAAACCCCCGATTTCTCATGATGCCAAATCTGTGTAAACCCCCGATTGGACCGAGCTAACTGCAAGGTTCTTTCACTCAGCCCTTTTTGCTGCGGCCCACAAAACGGTCCATTACCACGCCTTGGCCTAGCTCGGCCCTAATGTACATAAAACTCTCTCTCAATTAGACTAAATTGAAACAAAATTATAAATTCAAAATAAAAATCGAGTCAATTGAAATTACAATGACTAAAATGCTACAATTACTATAGTATAAAGATTACTGTTATAATTTGTCAAATATTATACAAATTAACAAAATAAAATACGTACAAAAAAATAATTTGAAATGTACTAAGGAAATGTCGGTTGAAGTTAATTGAACCGTAGGCCGCCGCAGCAGAGCTCATTGTGGACGGAGAAACTGTAGAAAACGAAGAGCCAGATAAAAATAAAAAAATAAAAAATAGCGCTTTGGAAAATGGGCTATTTATTTATAGAGAAATCGGAGACTATCAGGTGGTTATATATATATATATGTATGCTTTTTGGCCATGGGATGGGAGATTGGTTAATTCATCTTTCAGAGAGCATCAATAGCGAAACCCTAAAATCGGAATAGCGGTGTTTTCCGATTGAGTGATGTGTGCATGTATCGGAAATTGTGGTTGTTTTTATTTGTATGATAAAAATCATAGTCCCATATTTTTTATACTATTGTTTTATGAATTTTGTTTCAAAATCTCCAGAGTGTTGTTCAGATCAGCGAGGTTCATGTGTATCGAAAATTTCATTTTGTTTTATGTATATCATTCATGGAGAAAAAATAATTAAGTGAATTCGATTTATTGCATTGGTCTCTAAAAAAAATTAATGATCTATAAAAATAAATAAAAAATATAACTGTCGTGTTTTAAAAGTATGAGTTTTGTGATATATTGGTCTGAAATGTTTAAATTATGTTAATTTGACTGTCAATATATGAAAAATGATTCAATTTGGTTGTCAATATGTAAAAGATGCTTTAATTTAGTCTTCAGGGTTAAACTCAGTGATAGATGTAAAATTGTGAATAATTGGGGGATTATGTTTATTACCCGTTGACAACTCACACAATTCGATTAGTAATTCTAATCGGGTATTATTGAAAGAGGCTCGGGATGACACTCCAGAAGGGAGCACAGCAGGATTACCAGATCCTGTATTTGGAGCTACATATGTATTGAATTATTTCGATATTCTAGGAGTAATTTTTGAGGAGAGCTTGTGTAATAGAGGGTTATTGTGAAGGGAGAAAAGACTCATAATTGTAATCTATAGATTCATGATGAAACTCTTTCACCATTCTTCGCCTACGAACATAAGTTTATTCATAACTGAAACCATGTATATTTGTTCTATTTTAATTTTTCTCATCTTAGCCAATGGCATAACATTTTTGCATTCTATTCCATCAAGATCCACATGTCAACAATTTAAACCACCAAACACAATTCATCTAAATTTTTTTCGTCCATTCGTTTCACAGGGGATTGATTAGGGGAATAATAAACTGATGATTTCCCAATTAATATTTTTTTGGCAAGACTTAAAAAAAAAAACAACAACAACCAAGAAAAAAAGAACTATTTTTTGGGGGCATAGGAAGTGACACTATTTTCAGAGGCTTTCTTGATTCATTGACAAAGATTTAAGGCTGAAATGTTTATTACAAACACCCTGCAATGTCACAGACAACATACCAATGCATTTTCACAATTTATTTTTTTATCCTCTGATGCCAATTTGTGATCAAGAATACTTCCCAGCAATACCCAGGAGAACAACACAAAGCTCAACTGGTTTTGACATCATAATCATATGATCTGATCCTTTGATCTCTTCGACTTCGTCTGGTGGATTTTTTTCGACCAACCACTTTTGAAATTCCTTCTTCCCCACCTTGTCTTTCTCAGAAATAACAAAAACTCGCCTAACCGAGCCATATTTCTTGCTCGATAACACTAGCTCCCTCGACATGTTCTCTAGGCTGTACAACCGCAGTGGTCTCAACAAAGTCGTTGCCAGAGCCACGTCCTACAAGAGGTGAGAGACAGTTTGGCATGTTAATTATAGTACAATACTTGTCATTGAATTGAAGACATTTTTGTTTTTGGTTGTTTAGCATTTTTAGTTACCTCAATTGGGCTGAGCTGATACACTTTTGCTGCTAAATAGAGAGGTCCGAAAATGAAAGTTGTTGCAGGGTTGTTAGGCCCGTTATCATATGTGTAATGGCTGTCTAACACAGATTCTTGTCTCCTGAATGACTGCAATAGAAGGGATTAAAAGAGAGAGAGAGAGAGAGATGGTTTTGCGTTCCTTTGCAAGTTATTGAAATTTATGAGATCTTAAAATGTTTTGGAAAACACTTTCAATGATGGATGTTTTTCCAAATGATGGCATGCCTCCTGCCTATAAAACAGAGAAAACAGAGAATGCAAATTTCTATGACATTATCATTGCCATCCCCACATGCAACCAATTCCTACTTTCATGTTTTTTGCAGTGAGTGTCTTGAATTCAACCCTGGATTATGTTTATTACCCATTAACCACCTGTACAACTCGATAGATCCGACCCAATTTTGTATTCAGATCATTGTATATTACTATATGTTCAGTTATTTTCAATTCTAGGATTATGATAATCTTAAGAGCTTCTGTAACAAAGGGTTGTAATCTTTTCATTTATAGTCAAACTTTTTTTTTATTGTTGTTCACCTGTGTTCGTAGACTTATAGCCGAACCACGTTTACATCAATTTATCTTTCACAGATCATTGTATATTACTATATGTTCAGTTATTTTCAATTCTAGGATTATGATAATCTTAAGAGCTTCTGTAACAAAGGGTTGTAATCTTTTCATTTATAGTCAAACTTTTTTTTTATTGTTGTTCACCTGTGTTCGTAGACTTATAGCCGAACCACGTTAAGGTTTATGTGAATTTTTCACTTCTTCCACAACACGTTTAGCAAAATATCAAACGGTACTCTGTTTTGCAATCAAATGTCCTTTTTCTCCTCTGGGCATGAATATATGTCTGCTTCTCATTCAGAAAAGCATCAAGTCAATATTTTAAATTCGAATGTGACAATTCTGTTTTGAATACTGTCTCTCTTACAACCAATTAATATCCTTTTGAAATTTATGCATATTTGACAATTAACAAAGCATTGACAAAAATGGAGTATTATGCATACCTCTTGAAACAGGGTGGAGATGTTGAGACTTGGGCCAGGCATCATGGCAGTGACAAACACAGCCACAGAAATTTTCTCAGGAAAATTTTCCATGGCCTGACAAACAGCCAACCCACCAAAGCTATGACCGACAAGGACCACCCTTTCGTGTCGAGGAAGAGAAGCCATGAAGTCCTGCAATGGCTTGAAGTAATCAGAAACTGATGGGATATCATCAACAAGCTCTGGGTTGATCCCAGAAGCAGCTAAGTCAAGAGCTGTGACTCTGTGGCCTGATGATCTTAGCAGTGGCACAAGCTTGTACCAAGACCATGCACCGTGGCACGACCCGTGGACTAGTACAAAGTGTTTGGAAGATGTAGGGGGAGATGTCTCTGATGCAATTGTTGCTTTTGTAATATGGTGGAGAAAGATGAGAAGAGAAACTAACACCATTTGGTTCTTGTCCATGTTTGTTTCTCTTGCCTTGTTTCTCACACAAATGGGTACGAATCTGTATTTAGAAGGGTTGAAGGGGGTAGGTTTTCAATATGAAGTTGTTAGTTACTTAGTCTTCTAATCTAATCTAGTGCATGCACCTCAAGCACGTGATCTTCTATCTTTAAATCTTTATGTTCTAAAACACTCAATTATGAATGGTTTAATGACAGTAAGTATTTTAAGATAAGAGAATTTAGAGATTTGTATATATGTACAACCTAATTCTCAATGCAAGGTTCACGTATTTGTGCGACTTTTAAAATTGTTAGCGAAATGTCTCAGAAATACACAATAATTTTTTAACTTACTGAGATTAGTACGGCATGTTGACTAAAATTTTAAAATATTACTTGTTGATCCTTTGAATTTTGACTAACAGGCTAAAATAATGTCATTGAAAAACATGAATGGCTTTAGGTTAGCACTGGTCTAGAACGTCAAACAGGCCATATTCTTCCGCAAGGGTGAAACACACGTACTGTTAGCAGATATTTTAATATTATAATGTGTTATAGGTTAGTTTTTTTTTTCCTTTCTTCCAAATTAAGCCTTCCAAGTCCTTGTCAAGTCTGTGCCAAGTCTTGGTCTTAGTCTCCCCATTCTTATCCTTTCAAGTCTTCCAAGATAAGTCTTCTCAAAGTCTTCGTCAAGACTTATCCTCATCAAGTCTTCTCCAAGTCTTTATCCTTTTCTTAATCACCAAGTAAAACCTTCCAAGCCTTATCTTCTATATATATTGAGCTAATGTCCTATCTTGGTATATACGAGAAGGAGTTTTTGTTGCTTTGTTATGTCTAGTGTGAGATTATCAGGCAAATAAAAAATAGTGCATGTGATAAAGTTTTGGGTTCAACCAATTGTGCAGTATTGGTGAACCATACGACTTAGTCGCTGTTGTATTCTGGAAGGACAAATCAAGGTTTTTTCTGCTGCACCGGTGTGAGGCTTTGCCTAACCGCAGAGAGCTTGAATCTCCTTAAAGAAAGCAAATTTCCCGCGCCTCAACCTTTACAATAGTTATTGTAATTTTTATTATTCTTATTTTTTGGTGTTTTATTTGTAATTATCACTAACACATGCTATATATTATCTATTTCAAACTTTTATTCACTAGTTATTAACTTTCACTTATTTTTGTTTTTAGTCAAAATATTTTATTTTTTTAATATGTACGTCTACTAATGACAGAAATAGCTGAAATCGGTAGTGCATTTCCATAAACTAGTATCATCTGAACCGGCACCACATAGTATGATACATACTGCGAAAGAGAAAGAAAAGCAACAAGAAAGTTTTAGTATTTTTATACAAAACCAGAGCCAAATCTCCTGGATAGCATCAGAGCAACATCAAAGTAAGCGAAGTCCTCTATTATTGTAGGAAACTAGAAGATGAACAACTTATTCATATAATGTTTGTACAAAAGATTACATTTCCACAATTCCTTTAAGATGATTCCTCTTATATTTTGAAATGAGAAATTTGGATGTTCTCAACATCAAGCTTCTTGAAATTACTGCGCCTTCTGGTAGCGAAAAATTTCCCCCAGTTGTAAGCCCTGTACTTGGGAGGGTTTTGCTCAGTTGTCAGCTCCTCTAAAGGCTCCACCATGACATGATGGTCCGGATTGAAGAAGAATGGGATCGAGAATCTTTCTCTCTCAGAGTTCACCGTCACCCTATGCTCCACACTCTCATACTTCTCATTGCTCCATACCTGTGTAGTGTTCAACAATTTCCACATATATATAGCAGCAGCATCACTATATTTTCAGTATTAACTACTATGCTAAACATTTAACACTTAAAAAACGAGCCATGTCTTCATGTCTCTAATGTACTTTCAAAACTGCATGATGTGATGAAAATCTTGAAATACGAGAATCCCAAGGCCTGGAAGTGCATTGAAATAGGGGGTCATGATCCTGTGCCCAAGTCCTTTAAGGTTTGATCAATTTCAGTAACTAAAAATAATTTTAAGAAAAATGTCACTTAATTCTGTTCTATATGCAGTTTATCCACTAATGTTTAAAAATTAGTATATAACTGCCTGTGGTTTGTTGTCTAAAGTGCATCATTTATATTGTTAATGACTTAAATGAAAACACTAAAATACTCTTTTATATACTCTTTAATATTGTGCAAAGTAAGAGCTTTTTTGTCATCATTTTTAGATGAAAACCATACGCATTTCAAGTGTGTGTTTTAGACTGGTTGTTAACTCTGACGAAATGTTCAACAGTACACTTAAGTCCAAAAACCATAAAAGGTTATTTGCTTATTTCTAAATTAACGTTATTGGAATAGACCACACATGAAAGAGTCAAATGAAATACTTTGTGCTATTGTAGCTCTTTACTTGTCTCAATAATTGCTGTAAAATTTGACAGCAAATGGTCATTTGGACAATTGCCTTTCTGTCAGCTTGTACTTCTGATAAATCGGGATTTTCAGAGCAAGCTTTGCTATTGTTAATAATTTGAAGTTTTAGAATGGTGTACCTGAACAATGTCACCAACATTCACAATATAAGCATCTGGAGTGGGCTTAACTCGAACCCACTCTTCGTCTGTTTTTCGCTTCACTTCCAGACCTCCAACTTCATCCTGTGCAAGGACAGTCAAGGCACCGCCATCCTTGTGTCGACCAACGCCTAGAGCTTGGTGAGGGATTGGGCACGGCGGGTAGTGATTGAGTCGGATAAAGCTGATATGGTCATTGAAGAAGCCGCTCAACCGGTTTTCTGGCAAGCCTAAGCTCAGGGAGATGAGTCCCAACAGCTTGTGTGACAGTTTCTCCATTTCTGTGGCATATTCTTCAAATGCCTCTCTGATTTGTACAATTTTTCAAGTCAAGTATCTACCTATCTCAATTTCTAAAGAACAATGCTCTATGTCACTATTTTTTTTCTGACTGTCATTTGGGTGATTATTAGTCTTGATGTATGTATTAAAAAAAAAAAAAGTGTATAAAAGATATAAAAGCGTTGAAAATATGTGAAGAATGAATTGAGATCCTAACTATAGTCAAATGTATTGTTTATAAATATTTTGATGTTTCCCTTTAAATATGAGAATTAGATAAATCGAACATTTAAACACACAGATTCCAAGCATAATCAATACTTTCTAGAATTTAGGCTGAGAGGGATAATATACAAATAGAATATTTATAAAGAATTTTGTATAAAATGATATGATTCAATATTATATATATATATATATATATATTACAAAAAAAAAAAAATGTGTCTCAATATATATTAATGCCATAGTTTTTGGTGATAATTAAGCACATCAGTAATTTGTGCACAAAATTGAGAAATAGAGGTGTGTGGCCACATTTTTACACAACTGTTCGTACAAATGACATCTCAATATTTGTCCTACTTGAAAAACTAACCATAGTTAAAGTTTATTGAATCTTTTAATAGGATTAACTTAAACAGTCCTTTTAACACAAAAATCAATCACAAAATTAGACACAGCTCACGCACATCTAGTTGTACGATCAGTTTTTGTGTTTATAAACTTTTTTTGAATTAAAATTACCTAAACTCGGGAGGATACTCTGGCCACCGGTTAACCGACTCCCTGACCTCCCTATCACCGGGCTGGTACGATGCCGGAATCACAGCTGGATTCTTGACAGTCAGATCAAACACTTCTTTCCAGTCCCTAACATTCTTAGTCAGTTCAGTATCATAGTACCCTTGCGGGTTCACCTCATCTCTCCTAACCTTCCTCTTCTCCTCTGTTGACTGTGCAAAGAACTTTCTTGCTGCTGACTCAAACTTCTCACGAGTTTCCAAAGGGACTCCATGGTTGATCACTTGGAAGAACCCCCAATTCTTGCATGCTTCTCCTATCTCTTCCACTAGATTGACTCTCTATGCATAATCACGAGAGGAAAAAAAAAAAGACAAGAAACATAATCACTGAAATTTTATACTCATTCAATTTAAAACAAGAAATAAAACACTAACCAAAATCTAATGATGTAATATTAGACTTCTGGCATGTTTAGTTGCAAAATTACTAATTAAACTTATATAATTTAGTTTATCTACCATATAACATTATTAATTCATTATTCAATCTTTCTTGTAACACAGCTTTGAAAACTTTCTTATAATTTAGTTTAAAATTTTTCTTTTTTCAGAGACAATTGTAACAAAATTTAAGGTTCTAAGCGACCGCCTTACTTGTCTTCCCTCGACACCAGCCTTGAGAGGTTGTATGGAACTAAGGTTAGAGGACTCATTAGAGTCGAAAATGGAGAGGTCAATTACTGGGATGCCTTGAGCTTCAATGGTGGAAAGTTTAGGTCTGTGCTCTAGTGCTTGAATGAAAGCTGGATCTACCTCTCCCATGGCTAAAAAAAATGGTTGTTTTGTAATAACAAAATAATTGCTAGCTTATATAATGGGAGAGAGGTAAGATGTACATTGAACCTAGACATGTTTTTGTTGCCATGTGTGAGATTGCTATTAGGTTGGTTTTGTAAGACTCTTGTTTGGAAGGGTTTGTCATATGCATATGTAGCAAATGTTGTTTTCTTTCCTTAATTTATCAATATGTCTATGGTCCCATATTAATCCATTCAGAAAAATAAGTGATTGTGTAGTGGAGATTAATTTGTATTGTGTGAGGTCATGTATAAAATAAATTTGAATAATAAGATAAAGATTCGAGACAATTTTTGAATTGATAAGGATGAGTTTCTAGTATTACTATTAATTTATTTTTAATAAAAACAAAAATAATACAAATCAAGATAATGTGTTTGGGAAGGTTGGGCTGGGCTATTTTGGCCAAATGAGTACAAAACAAACTTAATTAGCCAAGTGAGGACAAAAAGTTGTGAGGTGGTGAGCAACAATCAAGGGCAACGTAAATTTATGAAATTACCCCATATGAATTATGGGCAACGCCTCAGCACATGAAAAGTAAAAAAAAAAGAACCTTTTTCCAAAAAAATCCTTTTCCCAAGAAAAAACAAAGAAAGTTGAAAAAAATTTAAATTTAATTTTTTTTATTTTTTGTTAAAATATTAGCATTAGATTCATTTTATATATTTGTGATCATTTGATAACAATTTTCTGATGAGTTTACAAATAAAAATTGAATATCACTAGCATTTTTATCATGAAAAAAATGTATATCAATGCATTAAAGGTTGTACTCAATTAGAATTGTCAATTCAGTAATCAATAATCAAACTAGAAGCTTCATCGGTCACCAGAAGAAAAATTTTATTAGGAAAAAGTGGATGAGTCATCAATGAAAATCATATAAGAAACCAAGTTTAGGACTTGATAATTCTACGACATTAAGAAAGTTGAGAAATACTTAAAAATAAGGATCCAAGTGTCATAGAGAACATAATGGTGCTCTTGTTAAAGTTACAAAGTTGGTATATAAAACATAATAATAATAATACTAATTAAAGTGCGGGCGGTTTTTGCGGGTTGCGGTTTTAACCCGCGACCCGCCCGCAACCCGCAAATTTGTCATATTTCAAACCGCATCCGCCCGCATTATGTTTACGAAACCGCCCATTTATATGGGGGTTGGGCGGGTTGGGCGGTTTGAGCGGTTCGGATAAACCGTTGTCCACCCCTACAAAACAAACTTAATTAGCCAAGTGAGGACAAAAAGTTGTGAGGTGGTGAGCAACAATCAAGGGCAACGTAAATTTACGAAATTACCCCATATGAATTATGGGCAACGCCTCAGCACATGAAAAGTAAAAAAAAAGAACCTTTTTCCAAAAAAATCCTTTTCCCAAGAAAAAACAAAGAAAGTTGAAAAAAATTTAAATTTAATTTTTTTTATTTTTTGTTAAAATATTTTATAAAAATAAATTCAAACTCTATTTATAAAAATATTTTAAATATTTTAATTTTTTTGTTATGTATTTGGTTATAATTTGAGTGTAGAGTTGTGAAAGTAGTATGGAGTTTCGAGTTATGTGTTTGGTTATGAGTTTTAAAAATAATTTATTAATTGAGTTTTACATCATATATTCAAATTTTAGATATTTTTTTGAAATATATATTTTTGAATACATAGTTTTTTTTGAAAACTCTCTAATAAGCCCAATTTGAACTCAATAAATTACACTAAGATTAAGTTTGAGTGGGGTTTTTTTTGGAACTGAACCGATCAATCTATTAAAGTTTTACCTTGTTAAATTTTTTTTTTTTGAAAAAAAAGAATATCAAAACAAATAACATACAACAATAACCTAACAAATATATATATATATATATATATTTTACCAAAATAAGTCAAAATAAAACCCAAAATAAAAAAATAAAAAAAATAAAATTGAAACAAAATACGTCAAATCCAAACCAAAAAAAAAAAATATTTTACCAAAATAAGCCAAAATCAAAACCCAAAATAAAAAAATAAAAAAATTTAAACAAAATACGCCAAATTCAAACCCAAAATACAAAAAATAAATAAATATTTTACCAAAATAAAATAAAACCCAAAAAAAAAATTTAAACAAAATAGGCCAAATCAAACACCCCCCCTATAAAAAAGGGTTAGCAAAAAACGCCAAATCCAAACCGAAAATAAGAAAAAATTAAAAAAAAAAAACAACAAGAAGTTCGGACAGTTGGGAAGCTGATGTGGACGTCAAATACATTTCAATTATAGGTACAAATCTTATCAAGGGCACTTTGGTAAATTCATAGGAAGACAC